GAGATAAAGGAGGGAACACACACACACACACACACACATACACACACACACATACACACACACACATACACACACACACACATACACACACACGCACGCGCACGCACACACACCACACACATACACACGCACATACACACAGATTTAAAAATTTAAAAAACTAGTGAGAGGGGTGTGCCTGTAGTTCAGCGACCAGTCTTGAAATTCTCGGGGAAGTCTTGGATAAAGCAAGGCGCATATATATCATCAGCAACATCCAGCTTGTTCCTTGCTTTTGTCTTGAGTTGGACAAGGGTAGAAAATCCACTTTAGTAAATTTAAGTTGACGCTAATGGGACAATTGAAGTGCTGAGATTATGACTCCTGGATTGAACACCAAAACTGTGCAAGAGATTTTTCCAGAAACGTGTCCTGTGCCGACGAATCAAGTCTCAATTCCAAAAGCTCACCTTGAATGTCATCTGCAATGACAGTGATGTCTAGTCCAGGAGTGAAAGGGGTTCTCACAAAAGCTGCTTCACCACAGTCAAGATCAGGAAAATAGTTCTTGAACTCATCTTCAAGTGATTTCAAATGTGCAGCAATGTTAACTTGAAGATCAGCAGACAAGGTCGCCTCTGGATTTAACAGCTGTGAAAGGTTTCCCTCTTTAACTTTCCGGTGTCAATTCTGAACTTTTGAAAGAAAGCCACCCAGAACGTCTTTAAACTGTAGAAAGTGTGTTTGCTGACCTCGAAGTCTCAAGTTGAGTTTGTTGCGGTAGATCTAGTCAAACATATCAGACATGTGTTGGGATCCACAAATCATTTGAAAAGTGCCTGCTGAGCTCATCTCTTCCTTGCACTTCAAGGAAGAACTTGATCTCCTCTCTCAGCTCGAGGACCCGACTTACAACTTTTCCTTTATATAACCATCGAACTTGAGTGTAGAAAAGCAATGTTTCATGATCTGCACTCATGCCAGAACAGAGTTCCTTGAACAGTCGTGTATTTAGGGGGCTGCGTTTCACATAGTTGATAATGTTAACAGTCGATTACGTTTCCTTCAAAGTGGGATTGAGAGTCTTGCAAGCTAGTGCGTATCTATGTATCATGCAGTGAATGCCTTTTGCGTATGGTGCTTTGTCCTTCACTTTTGCCTGAAAGCCCGACTTAGTTCCCATCATGGCTGGGGCATCATCAGTTCAAATAGCAAACACATTCTTCCACTCAAGGCCCTCGTTTTAAAAAAATGAGGATACCTTCTTCGTGACATCACCAGCTATTGTTGTGGTGTCCAGTGGAGTGCAAAATAAACATTCTTCTTTCACATCTTTTTCAAAGATCAGTAACTGTGAGGACGATGCCACATCAACTGATTTGTCAAGCTGGAACGAGAACATGGGGGAAGCTTTGATCTCCTCTACAACCTGTTTCTTTTTAATGTTTGAAGACATGCGAGAAATACGCCTCTTGACAGTACCATTTGAAAAGGAAACTTGCTGCTATTTCTTTTCATTAGCCTCACCTAGCATCAGCTGCGCCATCTTTATTGTGCAAGGCTTTATAAGTGTATCTCCAATTGTGTGTGGTTTCTTTTGTTTTGCTATTTCCAAAGCAACCTAAAAATGAAGCCCCTTAGCTCGACACATTTTGTTGTTGAAAATGTCCTCTGAAGTCAAGTCTTCTTTTTTTCAAGCTAGCTTCATGTCGATGAAAATATGCATGATTACAATGCTTCTCCCCTGTGACCCCCTTCTCCGAAGCCAGCACTCATGTAGCTCGTCATAAACGAGGTCTCAAGCTACTGTGCTTGGCCTCTATGACGAGGCTAAATTACACATTGAAACAAAAGAAAACTCTGCAAACCAATCAATTGATTGGCCCACATAAACAGGAATAGCAAACTGGTGTAGCCTTGTTGTTTCTCTGGCCTTGTTCAGAAGTTCAGGTGTTTACACTTTTTCTTATTTCAGCCAATTGAAGAGGGTTTTTTTTCTCTTATTTCAGTCAATTAAAGAGGGAACCATATTTTGAAAGTTGTCAGGAAAAGAAAGAGCCATGTTTTAGTTTTCAGAGGGTCATTTAAGCACAAAATCCTGAATGATCTTGCGACCCCCCGAGGGGTCGCGACCGACAGGTTGAGAACCCCTGTTTTAAAATGTGAATGAGGTTAATTGAGATGAATATCATAATTTTCCTCAAGTTTTAAGATTGAAATTACTCCAGCTACTTGAGACAATAGGGCAGGATGGACACATCATGCTATCAAGTATCACAGGCAAAGACACAAAAAAACGTAATCAAGGATGGAAGACAAGAGAACAATGCTAACAGGTGTACAAAGAATTGTGTGTAAGTACTATGTCTAATTTCTACAGATAGGCAACAACTGTATGTCCAGTGTCAGAGCAGGCAGTTCTTCTATTGGAGTGGAGTGCCCTTGAGGAATACCATCAGATCTACCCTGTTTTCAAATGCACATCACATTCATCTCTGGTCTATCCAGTATTTGCCATTAACTCAATAACCCCGAGTGGACGATGGGAGTGTCCAGTTACACTTGCCCAGTCCAGGAGTGGACGGTCACAGCATCCGGTCAGATCGCAGGGTGCATGACTACTAATGCAATATTTTATGAATCCGAATAGGTCTATTTTGACTTGGGAGTGTTAGATAAATGTATAAACCTCACCTTTAACTTTGCAACAGCATTAGTCATTTTTATTTACATTTTGCATGCTTTACGTGCTTCACAAGATCTGGAAAAATTTTGTCAAAAAGTCGAAAACAATTCCAGGGTCAAAGAATTAATAAGTAAGTTGTTATACAAACACACCTGAGCTTTTTCTGATTTTGATAACTTTTTCTTCTTCTTTCCTTTTTTCTTCTTTTTCTTGCCATCATCAGGACTGGCTTCGGTGCCCGATATAAGAGTGCTTGGGTCAACATTTTCAAGACCTTCAACTTTGTCCTCTGCTTCAGATGACTTTTTCCCGCTTTTTGCAGACTTTTTCCTTGCAAAGAAATAAAGAGCAAAATATTATAATTATAAATATTGATTTTCCACAAATGCTTATACTTATATGCTATTTACAAGACATCTGTTCTAAACAAGAAATACAGATGTATATGTTTGAAAGAAAGATAAACAGATAAAAATTATGAAATATAACTGGTCTAAAAATATGATAACAATGACAAAGATAAAAAACAATGACAGACAGTGTAGTACAAAGAGAGACAGACTGATAACCCAAACGCATTGGGATTGCAATATGACACAGATCAAGTTGGCCATTTTTTAAACTTATATATATATGTTGTCTAATAATGTTCATATATCTATTACTTGTACAAATCATGAAGGGCTGTCCAAAAAGTAATGAGAAAATCATCGGTGGCCTTGTGATTATGCTCTTGGACTGACAACCTTAAGGTTGTGGTCTCAAATCCTGTCAGGGACACGATGTTACGTCCTTGGGAAAGACACTTTATTTACACAAATTCTCCCCACTTCACCCAGGTAGGAATGGGCACCCGACTATTAGTGCTTGAGTGCATTCTATCCACAGCTTGCAATATAATGCATGCTTCCCAGGAAACCAAGAGTGTTTCTGAGTGTTCTAGGATCTGAGGGGTAATAATAGTTGTTAAGAACATAGAGCATGCTGTAGAGCAAGTATATATGCACCTTATTATTATTATTAAGCCTATTATTATTATTATTATTATCATTATTAATTAATTCATTCATTATTATTATACCAAAACGAGGAATTCTCTTTTTACAATAAACTGATAAAGGGGTATATATATGTAAAAGCATTGTATACAACTGTTCTACTGAAAAGTATGAATGTATGAATATAAATCATTAAATGTCACATCAAATCATGGCATTAAATTCCTCATATAGAGAAAGGGTCTTAAGGTAGATATGTGAATAGAGCATGATCTCTACACATTAAAATTCATGCCACAGAAATTTTCAGAGCACTGATTGCTCTGCATGGTGGAAGTATTTATTAAATGAACAAAAGGCAGATATCACTGGTGCAGTTTTTTTTCATGCAGGCGACGAACTCATCTAGTTAAGACGAGCCTTGTACGCACCGATGTCCCACAAATTTCAAAGGCAGAAGCCAACATGGGGGCATTTATTTGTGAACAAAGCTGGCTGAAAAGTAAGGAGGTTGCACAAAGATAGCCTTCTTCTGTATACCTCTTTAAAAATCCTGCTAAATTTATCTTAGATTCGAGGCCCAAAACACAATAAGACTGAATGACATGCGGAAAGATGAGGACTGGTTCGTAGGACTTGCATAATAACTTAATTAGGGACCACCTAGCAAATGCAATAAAAAAACAACAACAGTCGATATCCCTAACTCTGACCCAACCCTGTTCCCTTACCCCTACCTTAACCTTAGAACTATTCTACTCTGTTTCATAGTGGTCCCTCCCTACAGGGTTTGCCTTCCTTTAAACTAGAATAGGCCTAGATCTCTCTCTCTCTCACTCTCTCTCTCTCTCTCTCTCTCTCTCTCTCTCTCTCTCTCTCTCTCTCTCTCTCTCTCTCTCTCTCTCTCTCTCTGTGTCTCTCTCTCTCTCATATATATAGATCTATATATATATATATATATATATATATATATATATATATATATATATATATATATATATATATATATGTAAGCAATATTCCAGCCATGCCTATATATCCACTTCTTCATCAGATTGATTGCGTGAGAGGAAGCATAAACCATATTAAAGAACAAGGTTGGTAAGATTGAAGAATACCGGACCAGCAGACTGAGTTGGCCTATGTCTCAACCTTAAGAATTCATAATTTTCCCGTTTTTAATATCTCTCAATGGAGAGTCTCGGACCGGTAGATCTATTCATTAAAATTTTGTCAGGGGGGGGGGAGACCCACTTTTTATAGGCTAGGCCTGGACCCTACGACACGACACTACACCTCAGCAGCTATAGACATTTTAGATTCTTGAGTGACTGTTTCTGGAAGGTCAATGGGATTCAGATAAAACATCAGATTCCTTTCTTGAAACAAAAGCAGTTTCATAAATCTTTAAAGAACGAAAAGTATGTTTCTCACTTTTTCTTGGATCCCTTCTTTTTCTTCATGATGTTTACGCTAACAACCGTAATGGCAGGACTGCTGCTGTTATCAAAGACATTTACTAATATGTATGCAGCAATCACCGAACACGCCGGAAATGTACGGTCATTCCTCGGGGCTGCTTGCGACGCCATTAATTTTGTGTTGGTATTCTGAATTGTTGGCTTAGTCTATTGGAGATTTTCCGCAAACTAATGATGTTTTAAAAAAAATTATTTCATCTTGCAGACAAATAGAAGAGCCTATATACTCAACCGCAAATACCAGAACGGGATGTTGGGATAGTTTCAAAAAAGAAGTGTGGGATGGATAGGTCTAGAATCCGTGGATTTAAGGCCTAAGTAGATCTCTAGGTCTGAGTCAATCTTGTTTATTATGGCATGTAAAAAAATAGTATTATAATGCAGGCCTAAATTGAAGTCAGAAAAGATAAAACCCAAAACAAAGCAAAATGTACAATATATTTGCACCACCAGCACTGCCATAATGATTATAATTTCTTCGGTGATTATCATCTAAAAAAAAAAGAAAATAATTTTAAAAAATTTAAGAATAGAAAGAATCGTAGGGGACGTAGCTTTTTGAAGAGCATCCGAGTAAAGAAATGAAAGGAGAACAATAATCTGTTCCAGATCTGGCACTGGATGATGATGATGAGAAAGAATAATGTAAAACAAGAATTATATAGATATCTATAACTTAGATTCAAAGGATATGATATCAATGTAAAAATTATTCACTGTCGAAATGTCACTTAACAAAAAAGAATAATTTAAAAAGACAAACGAACAATGTACTCTGCCGCAGTTTTACAACTAATTAGAAAGTCACACTAAAGCGTATAATCATATAAAGGAAGTGAATTATTCTTATAAGCTTTAAGTGGTTCAATTATGTCTGACACGCTTACACTAGGTCTGTAAGTTTCAAAGCTAATAGTTGTAACAGATTTTTTCTTTCAGTTCAGATAAAAGAAAAAGAGCATTTTATTTCTTGTTCTCTAGTGTTTTGCAAAGTGATTGTCGTTTTTTCCTAAGTTATGGTGAGAGGATCTTTCCCACAAATGAAATCAAAAAGGTTCGAATGAATTTGCTATATTTTTTTCCGTAGACTCGAAAAAACAACATAATAACATCGAAAACTGTAAAAGCGCATTCCTTCTTTGCCTGCCACAGGCGACCCGAAAAAAAACTCTCGGCTAGAAATATTGGTAGGCAAAATGCTCATATCCTGGTTTCCGCAATAAATACATTTATGTTCGCAATCCAGTATTTAATAATAAAATCGCTGGTCGTTAGGCATTGACTTTTATGGAGTTTCACTCACAAATGAGCTTCAAAACAAATGCATCAGGGGAGACGATTTTGTCCAAAGTGTAGAATTTTGTGGTCCAAACAAGGACCTTAGCCAACAACAAAATAACCGCCTTGGTCAAAACTCACTGTCGGTCGGGAAAAAAGAGCCCAGGACCTTAGAGTAAACACACATGAGCAAACACACAAATATGCGTGCACAAACAGATTCGAAAAAAAACCGTTCATATATGTAACTACAAGGGAATTGTTAGAGTAACAGCTAATTGCATAAAACTATGCTATATATTACATGTATATGTACTGTACGGCAGATTTATTTTTTTAAAGTCTCTCTCTCTCTCTCTCTCTCTCTCTCTCTCTCTCTCTCTCTCTCTCTCTT